GCTAGCATAAGCAAATTTAGCTACATAAAACTATCCATATTTTCCACACATACATAACATGTGGGTTGCATGAAGTTGCACAGAAGGGAATACTTGCTTTATCTCTGAAACATCTGCAACAAGTGCAGACAACCTTCTTGACACTTGGATACCTATCAACCTCTTCAAATGTTTGAGAGCCATCATACCCCTACCTTATCCTTGGGAAGCCAAGAGGAGAGAAGTGCTAGGAGTAGTCTCACAGTGGTCTTGAGACTGCTGGGGTTGGATCAGGTGCAAAGCTGAGACCTAGAAGAGCTGATGGCAGTGACTGCAGACACCACCTGTTTTCTTGCCTCTTCCCACCTCCGGGGAATGGAACTAATCAGCAGGCTGTTTACCAGCAGCTCCTCACTCGTGAGTCTTTTTATATCTCCTTGGCATGGCAGCTGCACGTGTCACGTTTGTGATTCATGTGCAATGAAGGACTGTAGTTTGGTGACCCTTCATCTTGAACACCAGGGCTTCTGCCATGCTGTGATATTGAAGAGTCAATGTGAAATTATAATGTTCTGATAACAATGATAGTGTCTGGAGTTGTGGTGAGGTCTTTCGAGGTGTTTTATGTTGTGTTTTTTGTTCTGTATGTTTGTGCAGGGTCTCTTTTACTGAGAGTGGAATTTACATCCTATTAAAATGAATGAAGAAATCTCTCTCCTTTGAGTTAGAAAGGCCAGATAACACAGGTTTTGGTGCGTGAATACCCTATGCTGTCAGTAATCTAGAAAGGTAAAATATAATTGACAGTACCTTTATTTTTAACTAATAGCTTGCTATTGACATGTGGCTTTCCTAGCCATCAGGAAAGCCACACCGCAGTTGATCTGGATGTGCTCCAGTACCACAGAGCTTTACTTTGTTACTGCTTTTAAAAATCTGGCGATACCTTACAGTATCCTCTTTTCTGGTAAGAAGTAATTCTTCAGCATGAGCAACAGAAGGTCTTTACAGTTTCGACACACATTTTTTAAATCCCCTTCTTAGGGTTTATCTAATGATGACAAAAAATCTAGTATTTTTAAATAGTTTATTTTCATTAAAAACTCTACATAAGTGTCTTAAATTTGCCATCCACTGAAGGTGGCACCAGTGTGAGTGAGATATGGGTGTTTGAAAGCTTGTGAAAGAAATCTGCATTAGATACATACAATAACACATTACAATGTACATTTATAAAGATTTATCACCTAAACTTCACAAACTTCTCTTATATCAGCAAGATGAATTCCCAACAACAAAATCATGTAGCATCAAAACAGCAACTACGAACAATTTACACACACCCCTCCCCTCATTCCTGTACTGCTTTAACGATGACACAAACTTCCCTCAAGTGTTACATCTTCTTTATAAATCTACTTGCTCTGCGGAGATGCTATGTTAGAATCCAAGTGGTAAGAATTCTGAAGATGAAAAGAGGAGAACAGAAATGTATCACAAAAAAAATAAACATTTTGTTCATAGCTGTAGAAATGAGTCTCAGAAACAGCGGACGTAATAAATAAGGCACGCAATATTTTCCACCCACAACATGTTACCATGCTATAAAACATGCGTATGTTTTTTGAAATGGAAACAGTCCATTTCAGAATATGCTGCTGACTAAATATTTGCAAATAATCCTGTATTTTTGGAGTTAGTTGTCTGATCTCTTCAACAGACATCTAAGCAGTGTCATCTCACAATAGATGCATAGCATGCAATCAGCCTTATATTCACAGTGGGATACTTCTGCTAATTGCAACAGTTGTAGCTCAGAATAAGGTAGCGGCTTCTCAGTGAGATCTAAACAAATTAAGGTTAAATTTAAATTAATCAATTGGGGAAAAAAAAAACCCTGTCGCTTTTATAGTTCATTAGCTATTAACACTAATAGCAGTGTAAAGGAGCTGCCAATTTTCTGCTTATATATTGTATAGGCTATTATCCTATAAAAGGGAATAGGCTTCAAATGTGACTCAATGGCCTAAGGATCTAACTCAGTTCTTCTCTGTGCTTTACACGGCTAGATCCTGTGGTATGCAGACTTCGTGATGGACACAGCCAAGACTGAGCTCTAGTGATCCTTGTGAGGGAGCAGCACATCCTGGTTGGCTTTGTTTCTTTGTTTTACTGATCTTTGTGACATGAAAACATGCAGGGGTTTGATATCTATTAGCTGGAAAAGTGTTCTGGTATTGGCTTTTCTGTCCTGAACCATTTTCACACCACTGAAGGAACTTGTTGTCAAGGAAGACAGATGGAATTCAAAATTGTGTTGTTTTTTTGTTTTAAATCCCAATCAGACCACTAATGCTATCATCTTATATTCGTCCATATTAAAGACAAAAGTGGGTCATTACAAGATATCCTTGAATTATGTGCTCATTTAACTCCTCATAATGATTAGGTGGGTGACTGTTTTGCTTATAAATTGTACATAGCAGATCCCTCCCCACACTGAAGAAACACTCTTGAGTTAGACTTTTGCACTGGAATTACACGGATTGTGTCTAAGGCTGTGGTGAAGCACAAAGAAACTTGGCATACAAAACTAGATGTAGGAGAAAACCTTCATTGTTAAAGTCACTGACAGATCCTGTCATCTCTGTGAAATCCAATTGAACTAAGTCTTTGCTCAGTGATTCATTTGTGAAGGGCAGAGATTTAAGCAATTTTTTTTTTTTTTTGAGGGGGAGGGACTGGTAATTGAAAGCAAATAGCTGAAATTCAGTGGGAAGTTTTCAGGAAAACACAAGGTTACCAACTTGTTTTTCCATATAATTCCATTTTGCATAGGTAGTTAACTCTTCCCTACCCCCCAGACACAAACACACACAGGGAAAAAAAAAAACACATGTATTCATCCAAACCTGAATCAAAATACTTTGTTCTGGGGCTTTGTTAATTCCTCTCAAAGGTACCTGTGTCTTGTCACTACCCAAGCTTGGGACCCTGCACAGATGCACTTGGCTTGCAGGAAGTCCTCAAGCATCAGAAGCTGCTCAGAAATAACATCCCAATGGAGACATAGGCTCAAGTTTAGGAAATAGAAAACAGATCCTGTCCTTGCTATTAGAGTGGTTGCACTGGCTACTTCCAAAACTGCTGATCAGGTAGAGCTTGGGAACTTTCCTGGCACTGAATCTCAGTCACGCTACCTAACTGCTAGCCTGTCACCAGCATCATCTACCATGTGCCAACCAACCAATCTCAGGGCAAGGCTGGAGACCGCTTCCGCTGAGCAGTTTGATTGCAGCCATACTACTTTTGGAGGTCAGTATTTAGAAGGCTGTTACATATATTTTTCCGTACTCATTGTGATGACACCAATTCGTGGTACTTAGTGTCACTGATTCTATCTTAACATGCTGTCATAGGTCAAACTGCTCACAGCAAAAGAAAATTCAAACTAAACAGGTGGTACAAGCAAGACTTCAAAACACATACATTATGCCCAGTAAGTCTGATCAACAGATACGGAGGATAATTAGAAAGCAGTGTTTTTTTGTGCCCTAATAGAAGGCATTCATGGTCTAATTGTCTATCAATGTCCAGAATCCCCTTATGGAGGGAAAAAGCATTCATAGAGTATGATTCATCTCTTCTAAAACTGGTTGCATGAAATGTGCCTTAGTTAGTTTTGCCTTCTTTATTTATTAATTTACTAACTAAATTATCATTGAGGAGTTGTGATCAGCTGGTGATACCTGAGTATAGTCATAAGAATTCAAACTAACTTAGCTAAATAAAGTTAGCCAAATAACACCTTCCTATGCTGGAAGGCACATGACTATGTCACTCAACTCCACCCATATATTACGCATTCCTCAGAAAATAGATGGCATTCAGAAATGCCATGACTAATTATTGATACCCTTTCTTTTCACACAACTTTTTTTTTTTTTTTTTTTTTTTTTCCCCTCAGCTGTGAGATGTCCTTTTACATTCTTTTCCTGGTAGAAGTTTCAGTAAATGTATCATCCTTCATGTGCCACGTTTGCAGGTAAGTCCTCATGCACAGAGGTGCTGTTCATATTTTCTTTCTGTGCCTGCTCTGTTGTAGATCCTGTTAATCACATTTCCCAAAATAATCTCATGGTATGGTACAAACTCTACCTTCTTTCTCAAAAACTTATTTGTGTTCCAGCATCCATTTTAAAATTCTTTTTTTTTTTTCTGGATTTGTTCATGTATTTGTGTGTGCCGTACCAAAATGCAGTTCTTAGCTTGTATAGTAGGCAAACATAGGCAACATACTTTCACTGCTGTTGCATTACTTTTTTTGGAGATGTTCTTCAGTTGTGTGCCTTCTGACTTGAGCTGTTTCTGTTTGTCAGTGGAGGATGCTCGTTAAGATGCTTTGCACTGTGTCATCATGTCTATAGCGCTACACGTTCCCTTCCTTCTTGATGTAATACACATCTGTAAAAAATACTCTGTAATATCTTTGCTGCATGCTTCTGTTTCTAAGCTGGAATGTCTGCTGGCATACTGATGCATTTTCTGCTTAGTACTTGATTCACAGAATCACAGAATGGCCAGGGTTGGAAGGGACCTCAAGGATCATGAATCTCCAACCCCCCACCACAGGCAGGGCCACCAACCTCCCCATTTAATACTAGACCAGGTTGCCCATGGCCACTCGATTCTACCATCGATGTCCTTGATAAAGATGTTACAGAGCACCGGTCCCAAGACAGACCCCTGGGGGATGCTGCTCGTTACCGGCCTCCACATGGACGTAGAGCCACTGATGACCACCCTCTGACTGCAGCTTTTCAACCAGTTTCTTATCCATCGAGTGGTACACCCATCAAATCCACATTCCTCCAATTTGGAGATAAGGATGTGGTGGGGGACCATGTCAAAGGCCTTGTTTGAGTCCAGGTAAATGACATAGGTCATTTTCCCTTGTCCCCCGATGCCGTCACTCCATCATAGAAGGCCACCAGATTGGTCAAGCATGACCTTCCCTTGGTGAAGCCATGCTGGCTGTCTGAGATCACATGCTCATTCCTTATGTGATCAAGCATGTCATCCAGGACGATCTTGCTTGTTAATACCTTTCTACTTCATATGTATATCACTGATATTACTGTATATTTTTGTAATCTCTTCTCTTCTGTATTTCTTTTGTGTCTCATCCTCTTGTGGTCTTAGTCACCATAATGTCACATTTACCAGTGAAATAGGTATAACTGGGTTACTCACATACAGAGCTGCCTCTGTGGGTTCCTGATTTATCTCATAGAAAGCACTTCTTTGTATGAAAGGTCTTTCTCTTGACAGAACAATAAGACTGAAACAGCAAAACCAACATATCTGGATTTTTCCTCTGCTTCAGTGAACTTGCCACTTGAGACCCTTACTCCTCTGATATCTCTGTCTTTTGCCCAATACCATTTGGAAGTGAGCAGCTTCCTGGATTGCCAACCACTTAGCTGCTTCAGATCCTGCACAGATTAACTCCTTCCACCTCTACTTCCACTTCTCCTTCTTCAGCAGCTTCTGCTCTTGCAAAACACATTTCTGGCATTAGCACAAAAGCCAGTGTCAGTGTTAATTTGTCTCTGCTTGTACGTTAGCATCTCGGTGAGGCAGCTTACAGTGATAGAGATCTGTGGAGGGATGCACTGGAAGGCTTGCTAACAACCTGCAGCTGCAGTAAACAGGCCTGCACCCTGGCTTGTGCCTGTCTCAGGGCCTCAGCTCCTGCACCCTCCACAGGGTCATGTGCTGGGCTTCTGCACCAGCTTTGGAGAAGGTCAGCTGTTTTCTCACCTGGGAAAGGCAAAACACGCAGGGTGCTGGGTCTAGCCTGGCTTCTGCCACTGTAATTAGTATAGATGCAGAATGGCACAGACTATGCATCTTAGAGAACTTAGAGTGTGGCACCCAGATGTGATTGGGACAACCACAATCAGGGCAAAAATACCCTTGTATAGCAGCAAAGCAGCCAGAATCATCTACAATCTAAATGCAGAATCTGTAGTTTTCAAAGTTTCACACCATCAGTAATTACACATGAAGTCCTTGTCACACACGAAATAAGAAACAGCAGTACATGGGTGGAATGCCTGTCCTGCAGAACTCTTAAGCATTGGCATGCATGTTTGCTTCATGACTCTATTTCTAACTTTAAATAATTTTCAGTGATAATAATGAGGGGATACAAAATTTAGGTGGAACCACAGTAAATAGTTGCTAAAATGTGACAGATCATGGATATATTATTAGGCAAAAGTGTTTGCTGGAACGTAGGAGGGGAAAGAGTTATTAAGAGTTTTCTTTTTGGGATTAACTCCTGATTTAATTGTGAGTTAACATGACTGATCTCTATTGTATAGAGAAAATTAGGGGTTTAAGTGAGATAAACATCCCCAAGAAAAACAAATTTGGCTGTCAGACTTCTATGCTAGGGAAGACACAGCTGCTGACTAAGCTCGTGTAGGGCAGAAGTGGAGTTGTGCTGGAGGACTTTGCAGGTGGAGATGCTTTGGGTTGGACTCTAGATGCTCAAAGTGGTGTTGGAAGAAGCTGTGGTGCTGGCAGTTTTCTTTGCTGAGGAAAAGACAAGCATTGCTTCCAGATGCTATTTTTCATGTCTAATAAAGCTCTGGCTAGTAATGATTGTTCTTTGCATTTTCCACCCTCTCTACAAGACAGAAAGGAGACTCATGCTTTTTTTACAGCCTCTTGAATTTTTTTTTTTTTTTTTTTTTTTTTGGTGGGAAATGAAACATCACAAATGTCATGTAGTAATTCACTGCACTGGAGTGAGAGAGTTTTCTTCCTGGATTGTGGATGACAAAATTATAGAGCAAGAACATGAAATCAAATGAAAATGGCTTTTGTTTGTTTGTTTTTCAATAGTTAGCTATAATAAGTGATGTTGTTATGCAGAAACAATAAAAGACTTGTTTAAAACAGTAACTGTATTTCCATGAAGAGTGCTTCCATGTTTTCAGTATTGGACTTTCTTCCATGCAGTTCTTCTAAGGAGGAAGGCCAGCCTATGAGACCAATTAATCTGAGTGGCTGAGTTCAGGTCCTGGCTCAAGAACCTTAACTACTCGAAATGTTCATATCCTCAAGCATAGGTCTCATATGGAGCTAAGATTGTGTGAAAATATTACTGGTGGAAACCAGGACTGGGCCAGTGGCTTGCTTTCTCACAGAAGAAACTGTGGAAATTAGAGCTGAAAGATACTTCTGAAATAGGAAATAAGTCAGATCATAGATTTGTAAAATGGAGCTAGATGGAAAAGTTGAACTGAACAATTCTTTAACATTCAAGAACCAAAAAAGTACTTTAGAGGCAGACGCAGGACTGGACTGGGAACAATTTAAAACTTGAGGGCAGGTGACAGAAGGGGAGGGGAGCCTCTGGATGAAGCTTTTCCAAAGAAGTCCTCTTTGCTGTAAGCTGAATGAGACACCAGGACATCTGGCTGCCAAGTCATGGCAGCAGGCAGCTCCAACCATGCTGAGTATCTGCATATATGAGTGACTGCCCATGGGCACAGGGCAGCTCTGTAGTGTGTGACAGTAGCTGTCACATATCTGGGAAATGTCTGCCTAGCTTTGCACAGAGCAGCTGATTTGGACCTGCCCAAAACAGCAGCACATTCTACTTGTTTTGCACGCACACACCTCTGTATAGAAGGTTCATTGCAGACTGTACTCACATAAATTCTAGCACAAAATGCAGTCTGTGGCAGAAGAATCTTGGGATTGCCTTTTGTCTTAGAAACCCTTCACTGATATCCTAATTTTGGATGAGGACATGCACCGAACTCTGATCTGTCCCTGCCTCCCTATCCTCTTCTGGCCAGGACTCCCTGAGGCCTTCCCTGTATCAATGCTGCACTGCATTCTCTGTTTTGCTGAGAGAAATGAGACAGATTTCATTAGACACAGCTAAAATGCTGGTTTGCAGTTGTAGAACCACAACAGATGGTTCTGTGCATAGTTTATGTCACTGCTGTATCCAAGAGGTTTAATCACGAACCTAGGGGAGAGAGGACAACCCCCCATGCAGGTACCCAGACACAAGACTTGGCTCTGCCTCACATGGCTTATTGCTGGGAGATGAGATGAGAAACAATAAATGGATATTTACTCTAATCTGATATTATCCTGTACCTAATCTATTATTATCTGGTACATTGTACACGATGCTGAACATTGCCTAAAGCTTGTGAAATCTCTAAGAATTGGACAACTACTTAAACTACATTTTTGCTTGTTTGTGCTTCTACTGCCTGTATATAACATACAAGTAAAGCTTATAGAAGTTGTTTTTACAGTAGTTATCTTACTGAGAATTGCTCATCAGATATTACTATTGAAAAGCAACAGACAGTTTAGAATATGAGTCAAAATTAATATTCAACCCTTAAAAACTTGCCTTTTATTTTGTGATAATCTATTTGAGTGCCCTTCATTTTTAAGATAAGCAAAGGACGAGTTTCAAAGATAGGGACAGAAACAAAATTTATTTTAAAATGCATGATTCATCCATATTCAGGAGCCTACTTTATAACAATATGATAAACACAACCTTCACTGAATGGAGATACACTCTAAGCAGAGAAGAAAAGTAAGTAGCTCAAATGACTGTGTGGTCATGGTCAAATAGAAGAGACAAAGCCACCGCATCAAATTCACTGTATTCCTTATTAAAAAAAAACAAAAACAAGAACAACAACAACCAAAAAAAATACCTCCAGATTTTTAAGAAATGTGCTCAGAAAGAAAAACATGCATTTGTCCTGATTATTTCTTTGCAATTCAGCATCTCTTTTGTTAAAGGAGTCTTTGAAGTTGGAAAAAAAAAATTTGGTGCCATCAAGTGGAAATACTCTGAATTGCTGAGAAGAGCTGCTAAAATGACAGTGCAGAGATTTCACTAGATGCAGTAGCAATATATCTAGTTTTACTGGAAATTATTTTTTTCCTAATCACTTATGTAATTTGCTGTTGTTAAGTTGGCAAGAAATCTCACCTGTTGACATATTTTAGGGAGTAACATCCTCCCCTGTTACAGAAGACAAAAATCTTGTGGGTTTTTGGCAAATTACACAGATGTCTGTCATGATGTAAAGACTATTCCTTTCTGACTCCCCTCCCTAGAATTCACATTCCTTTGCAGTTCTAAGTTTCTCACAGCAAACAGTTGTAGACAGAGTCACCTCACTCTTGCACATCTCCCTGCAGCAGCTGAAGGAGAACATCTTGGTTTCAGCTCTGTCCTGGGAGCTTCTTGCATTTGGACAGAGCTTGGAGGAGCATGGTGTACCTTGGAGATGGTGGTGCTCCCTGCTGCCACAGCAGCTCGCTTGCTGGCTGCCTATCCAATCCCCCAGCTTTGTGTCAGGGAAGAATTGCATGGGATAAACCTCATCCTGCCAGAAAGGAAGTCATGCACTTCAGAGACAGTCTCTCATGATTTTAAGTCCTGTGCCCCTTAAAATACACATTTGCTACTCTCTTGAGGTTTATTTTTCGATATAAACATGCCTTAGTTAACCTAAGTATTTCAGGAGTTTGTGTTATTTTTATTGAGTTTACCACACGTTTCAAAAACAGATGTTTAAATATTTATTAGTTTAAAAGCATTTATGTATAAACTGAACTAGATTTCTTTTGAAATATTGGTAATAGCTCAAAATAAAAGAAGCATTTTCATTTTTGCTGAACTGAAATTCTTCAGTTTGAATGGAAAGATCCAAATGTTTGAATTCCCTTGTTAAGTGCAATATTGAAAAAAAAAAAACACATCACTTTGATCACTTCTAATTTCTGCTAATTCTAATCCCTGGCAAAGTTCTCTCCTGAAGCTTTATGACATGCAGTCAGATTTATACCAAAATACTGTATAGTACCCTGCTCTGGGAAATAACCAGGAAGCTATGAGAAACTCTAGTGAATAGATGCCATGTTTTTATCCCTTTAGGAACACAGAGAAAGCCTCAAACTTGCAAATGAAATACTTTTGTCACTGTAAGGTACGATTTCTGCCTTGTTGTTGTTAACATTTATTTTTTATTTCTCAGTGACCTTTAAGGATGCTGTAAATTTACAAACCATTCTGCATGAAGCCTAGAAACTAAGTGATAGCTCTGGATCATCATGCTCTGTGTGATGTGCCTCCTGCCACAGCCCGTGTTGTCTCCCCATGGCAGTGGGAAGAGGGATGCTCGGGTTGGTTTGTCCTGGTCCTGCTCCAGGACCTTAGACAAAGGTCATTCTCAGGGGGAAGGGGTCATTTGTACATGCTTAATGGTTGTAGAAGCTCACTACCTTGCAAAGTGGTTTAAAGGATATAACTGTAACTGAGAACTGGATCCCCTGGATCTCAAGGCAACAGAATGACTGTAACTGAAATAGCAATTTGCTTATGCTTTTTCAAGTCTTGTGGGAGAGACTAAGAATAACACATAGATGCATATTTTAGGAAAAAGTACAGATGAGAGATGGCCAAATCTCACCAGAAAAAGAATTCTCTTTTAAGTCAGTTTAATACATGTTGCTGCTCTCTTCTTGATGTTCCTGACAGCTGGATCCCTCCTTGTATTTTGCTGGATAGTGAGAGAGCCATTAGCAATTGGAACTCTGCATCAGTGTTAAAGCAATACCTTGGTTCAAAGACTTTATTATTGCTTAAACGAGAGTTGTGGCCTAAAGACAACATTATTTAATTAACTATAATGTTCTGCCTCTCAATGATAAAATTATAAACATATTAATTTTCAGATTAAAAATGTACTCTGGATCATTCTATTTAAATCACTGTTTAGAACTGGTATTTCTATTGTATGTGTTCTTTCTGCCCAGTAATTGAAATCAAGGTAATGTTTTAGTGGTAGACTATTGTTGCTATGGAACTATTCATTATCTTACGATATGGGATGGGCAGAGCAGAGACAAAAAGATTGGATTTTATAAACATGGTATGAAGCTTTTAATCCTTTCACTCTTACTGAACAATTTATGTGGCACACTAGTTTTCATTTTTTTATACTCCAAATACTCCAAATGTGGATGTTCAGGACTTATTTTAAACGCTTTCATGAAGATGAAGATGTAGGGCATGAGTGTGCATGTGCCCATGTATGTATATATGTGGATTTAAAATTTGTTCACATATATGTGGTGGCTGCATAATTTCTCACACTGTGCTCTTAGACATAACAGATTTTAATTCTAAATACTGCCTATCACACAGAAAGACAATGTTCCTTGTTTACATAATATTTAATGGGGTATAAAAGTATTTTTAAAAGCGTAGCATGAAAGAAGCATTTTGTGTGCCAGGTGCCTAGGTGAATTCTTGGGTAGGTGGAATTGGCTAGGAGGAAAAGGAACCAGATTCTAAAACTGACAAAATATGGAAAAAGGGAAAGTCTTTATGGCATTAGATCTTGTAGTCTAGGTCCTGGTTGTGGTTCTCATATTCCCTCAGTGAAGAGCTGCTTATAATCTGTGCTGTACACTACTAGACAGTGAAGTGAAAGGAATCTCCATAACTACATGGATGGGAAAGCAGAGCAGGCACTGTTCTTTTTACAAGATGATTCAATCTTTTACCCCAGTGTACCATGGTTTACGGCTAATTATCATATCAGAACACTACATGTTTTGGAGAGGAACAAGGGAAAAAGAGATTTCAGTGCAGGTTTTAGATAACAAATTTGGAGGTTGAAAGTTCATGCTGTGTAGAAAAAAAGAGATTAGTATGACTTCTTAATATCAGTGCCTACCTCAGCTTGAAAATACCTCTGGGAAATAAAAGCAAGCTTTGAGGCAGTGCAAGAAGGAAGCAGTACAACAATGGGGATAAGATCTCTTTGGGGAAAACATTGAGAGCCTTTAGGGGATAGTGGAGAAGCTATTCATCAGAAAGCCAGGTCCATTCCAGGAGAAGGTGTGTGATCTGAAATGGAACTTGCATTCCAGCTGCTGTACAGTGGAGATGCTAGCCTTGAGAAAAAAGAGTTTTAGTGCAAGAAATGACTGCCCAAACTAGCAAGGACAGCTGGGAATCTCCTTGGGTAGAGAGAGAACACAAGCAGAAAAGACAAATTATGAAAAGTGGTCTGTGTAGATATGAGAAAAAAACTTAAAAAAAACAAACAAACAAAAAAAAACTTAAAAATCTAAAAAAAGACTAAAATGATTGTTGTGCTGTATTGAAATGAATGACTCACCAGATCAGAACAAAGACCAAAGCTTGTTGGTGAGAAGGTGTAAACAGGGGACACACCAGCCAGGGGTGTCAGAGGAGGAAGATGTAGAAAGCAACTGTAACAGTAACCTCGTGGAACATAGTAACTGGTCTTACCTCTGAGAGTTTTCTCTAAACAAAATCCCATTCTGGAGGAAAGCATCTTGCATGAGTTAGAAAAATCTGCCATTCCAGTGAATGAAGCTGAAAGATGGGGACAAACCATGAAAAAATGAGAACCGAGAGACCAAAGTACAAAACATAAATGAAAGAACAAAACAAAAAATACTTTCCTAATTGTATGATGGGGGGAAGAATGGAGAGAGTATCCTAGTTAATCTGGTGATACTTTGGTGGCTAATGCTGCTAATCTGAGTGTGATACTTGACTGTGCCAAGGGTGGTCAAGCCCAACTCCATCATGCTGTTCTCTCACTTCCCCTTCCTCAAAATTCCGGGGGGGGTCTGGGGGGGG